CCCCCCCCCAATTCCCCCCCCCCCCCGCCCCCCCAAAGGCAATGAATATGTAAAAAAATTATTTCTCAAATTTGTGTTGGCTTGTTGTCTAATAGTCAGTTCAATTTCTTTAGTCATCTAACCAGTGTATTGACTTGTTGTCCTTACTTTATAGTCAATTCATATCTAGTATCAATGAACTACATCTGTTTTTTTACCTGATCATTCGTTAAGAATACTTGAAATTCTTTGGTACAATTGCTCATTCGATAAATACTTCGTCTATAGTCAGATACTGACTATGTTCACCTATGTAATTCTGAGATCTGTTTCAAGTCGTTCCATTTTATAAGGGAGAGTAGAATAAAAAAGAAGAAAGCACCTTGATTTAAGTACTTTTTTCATTGGTTGAAGTGCTGCCAGAATAAACTTGAAATTCAATTGTTTTCCATATTAGAGAAAGCGGTTGATCTTTCTTGACTATTCCGTGTTATTTTAAAGTACCTGCACATATAGCCGTTAAGTAATCCATATCAACATCTCTGCCAGGAATTAAATCCGAATACATTGTGTCAAAGCTAAATCCTTCCATTTTGAATAGAAATTAATAACCGAAGAAATCCATATATGCAAGTCTGTATCTACCACATACTAAGTAGTCACCATGAAGAACATTACCTTCATTCAAGCATAGTAGCATAATCCTCTTCTCTTGTCCGTAATTAAACATCCCACTACCCCAATCAAGTAATCTTTTCTTAGAATCATATTTCAGCTCTTTACTCAAAACCTTGATGACCTATAGGCAAAAAAGTAGATAGTGTTAACTTCTTTACTCAACAAAATGCTCTTAGCTCTTCATAATCAAATTTGTTCTTTTGTTGCCCTTCTAGTTTAGAAGATCCTCACTTATGTTGTATCATGTATGGTTCAAATTAATTACCTCTTCGCTCATCTTGGCAACAACTTAACCCTATGGCAGATATAAAATCAGTCAATATACGTTATAAGTTACTTCATTCCATACAAAATTTCATAAATAGACTATTTCCAACTGTCAGCACTTGCATTGAAACACAAATCTTAGAGAAACAACTTTAACAAAAAAAAAGATATAACATTCAGAGTTTACCGTTGGAGATTTCGGCACTTTTCACAATAGCCTAGATGAAAGGGAATGAAACACTTCCTTGTCATTAGAAGAAAAAACGTAACTTCCTTTCCTTTGAAGGAAAAGGGACACATGTTACAATATATAATTCACTGTGTACATGTACATGTCAAGGACTCAAGAATTGATAAAGTTAATAATATTTGACAATATAACACAGGTGCAACAACATTTTGGAGGATCCAAGCAACATAAGTCGTGGATATAACACAATCAAAACCATACATTTCAAAATTACCTTCATTAGTAGATGGATTCAGGTTCTTGGTGCTTTACTTTTTTTTTAAAAAAATGATAAGAGAAATGACAACTATTTATTGGGAAAGGGAACAATAACATAAATAACTATTCAGATACAGTTATGCAATGAATGGTTTCCTGACAATTGAGATCTGGAAGGGGGATTTATTAACATCGGCACTGTTAGCAATGGAGTAATATTAATTAGTTTCTAGACATAACATCTTATATGAGTTCAAGATAAAGTACAATCAGATTATGAACTTGCAATTCTTGAGAAACAAAAATCCCATCATAGTTAAGGATGGCACCCGACCTCTTTCATTTAACAGAAGGTAATCTACTATAATGTAATACTTTGGAGAGAACCAACAACACAAAAATTTGGTTCTATGTCAGCCCTTTGCTTAGGGGAATTGGGACAAAAGAATGGTTGGGACAACAAACATTTATCTCCAAATTTGATCGTATACTTCATTACAAGTTTACAACTATATGATTCAGAGCTATTCAGAGTATCATTCATATTTGATCCCTTTAACTTTCATATTCGAGTTGGTACTCTACATATTAGAAGCAAAGTTCCCTCTATAACATTTTGGAACAGTCATTTGAGTATCAAAAAGTAATCCAAGTTCTTTCCTTACTATTATTCCTAAGTTTAAATATCGACTCAAAACTATAAAAGATATTTTGAACAAGAAAAAGAAACAAGCAGTAAACCAATGAAGGAATGCACTAACTTTCATTAGCGAATACATACACCCAAAAGGATAACAACTACTAAACAAAGTATTGAAATAGAAGAAGATAGATACAGTTAGAGATTGAAGTTCAGTTCATACAAAAAGGAAATGGAAATGATAAAAATTGAAATAAATACATAAAATATAGCTTACCAAACACTAAGATTGCTGATGACCGAATCTGTCTTTTCTCTTTTGAATTTTTGTCAAACACCTCGCCATATCCTTCTAATTTTCAAAAAAATTATCCTAATGTAGCTAAGGGCAGGCTTCCAAAGCTCGTCTTGATAGTAAATATCAGCAATCACCCAACTTGAGCATAATGAAGAAGATCACTTTGCCTACTTTGCTGTGTTATCTCATTCTCCCTTAATGAGAATGAAAAATCAGTCAAGTATAACAAATATATATTACCCTTGAAGATGAGCATATTTACTACATTGCCATTGGTCGTCCATGGCTTGGCATTTCTGTTGTCGTCTTTTGCTCCTCCGATTGTTGGACAATTGGCTCAGAATGTTTATGGTTATAAACTAGTTCCTGAATGTACTGAAAGTCCACAGAAAACGAAAACACTAAAGTAAAAAGCACCCCCCTCGAGGTTCCGCGCCTTGAGGCCACCCCCCACCCCAAGATCC